TGCCTAGAATCCCCCAGTAAGGGGCTGGGGGCGTGGCTCAGTGGTAAAGCCCTTGCCTAGAATCCCCCAGTGAGGGGCTGGGGGCGTGGCTCAGTGGTAGAGCCCCTGCCTAGAATCCCCCAGTGAGGGGCTGAGGGCGTGGCTCAGTGGTAGAGCTCCTGCCTAGAATCCCCCAGTGAGGGGCTGGGGGCGTGGCTCAGTGGTAGAGCCCCTGCCTAGAATCCCCCAGTGAGGGGCTGAGGGCGTGACTCAGTGATAGAGCCCCTGCGTAGAGTCCCCCAGTGAGGGATGGGGGCGTGGCTCGGTGGTAGAGCCCTGCCTAGAATCCTCCAGTGAGGGGCTGAGGGCGTGGCTCAGTGGTAGAGCTCCTGCCTAGAATCCCCCAGTAAGGGGCTGGGGGCGTGGCTCAGTGGTAGAGCCCCTGCCTAGAATCCCCCAGTGAGGGGCTGGGGGCGTGACTCAGTGATAGAGCCCCTGCGTAGAGTCCCCCAGTGAGGGATGGGGGCGTGGCTCAGTGGTAGAGCCCTGCCTAGAATCCTCCAGTGAGGGATGGGGGTGTGGCTCAGTGATAGAGCCGCTGCCTAGAATCCCCCAGTGAGGGGCTGGGGGCGTGGCTCAGTGGTAGAGCCCCTGCCTAGAATCCCCCAGTGTGGGGCTGGGGACATGGCTCAGCTGGCTGAGAAGATGGAGATGAGAATGAGAACATGCGCAGAGGAGCCAGGGCCTTGGGAAGCTGTTGCCTGATGCTAATGTAGGGTAGTGAGCCCCATTCTGTGAAAGCATGGTGTTCTTCTTTATTTATTTTATTTGTTTGTTTGTTTATTTATTTATTTATTGAGTCTGGTTCTTAGTATATAGCTCTGGCTGTCCTGGAACTTCCTATGTAGACCTGGCTGTGATCTCTGGATCACAGAGATCCAGCTGCCTCTGCTTGCCAAGTGCTGAGATTAAAGGCGTGAGCCACCATGCCTGGTTTAAGATTTTTATTTTATATATATATGTATGTGTATGGCGTGTGTATATGCACTCTTTGAGTACAGATGCCCACAAACACCAAAAGAGGGCATTGGGCACACCACAGCTGGAGTTACAGATGTTGGGAGCCCACCATGTGGGTGCTGGGAACCGTACTTGGTTCCTCAGCAAGAGCAGCAGGCCTTTACCTGCTGAGCCCATTAGTTTGGTTTTCTGAGACAGACACTCTTGAAATTGACAGTCCATGTCTGTCTCAGGTTCAGAGGGGTCTGCAACACTCAGATTTGAGGACTGTTTTTGAAATGTGGGCAGAGTCATACTGGGCAAAGTGGCTCAGGACATGGTCAACACTGGGTCATTTCTGCATCTTCCTTTCTCTCAGGTCAGACATGAGCAGCGTCTCTGAAGACTGTGGGCCAGGTGAGAAGCTACGTGACTCTCTTGTGTATTGTCTGTGGCCACCAGTCCCCAACTGACAGCCAGGCAGAAACCAGCCCAGGCTGTGAACCCACAGTAATCGGGATAGTTTTCTACCCATGGCCATGCCCTAAGAATCTCATTACAAGCGGCTGAGCATGCTGGGAAGTCTCTGGGGAGGGGAGGAGAATAGCAACCAAATCCTGGCATCACTACTGCCTACCCTGGGTCTGCAGATAAGCACCGATCTTCAGCCCATGGACCTGTGAGCTCTTGCCGTAAGAGGAGCCTGGCCTGGCTTGAGTTTGTCCAAGGTCTCTTGTAGCCCTTCTTGGTCTGGGCAAGAGCCAAGGGCCAGTGACTTTTCCTAGTTGTTCACTATCAGTTCACAGACATGAGAATGTTCTGGAAAGTCTTGCCTCTGTATAGGCATGTTCATGCCCCTGCCTGACTGGGTCCTTCTTGTTTTCTTTTCAGGAACCTCAGGAGAGATAGGAATGTTGAGGCCCATCAAAATCGAGCCAGAGGAGCTGGACATTATTCAGGTTACTGTCTCAGGTAAGAGACATCTGTCAAAGGACTGTTGGTGTTCCTGTTCGTGGGCAGACATGTTGGCAGAAGCTGTGCTGCTCTGTTGTCAGGTGCCTAAGCCATCGCCCCCAGCCCCTCACTGGAGGATTCCAGGCAGGTGTTCTACCACTGAGCCACGCCCCCAGCCCCTCACTGGGGGATTCTAGGCAGGGGCTCTACCACTGAGCCACGCCCCCTTTTCACTTTTTTATTTTGAGATAGAATCTGATTCCTGAACCCACTCTGTAACCCAGTGAGACCCTAGAGCTTTCAGTCCTGTTACTTCACCTTCCTGAGAACCCAAGTCTTCAGGTCACAGGCTGTACCAATTCTGACTGCATGGATGTTGTTTAGAATCTTGATCTGTAGACCTGCTTGGCTGGCCTATTGGGACCTCTAAGGGACCATGATGGGAGGGACATGTAAAAAAAGACGCCCTCTTTATTCGGAGTTTCCTTTCAGATCCCTCACCTACCTCTGAGGAGATGACCGACTCGCTACCTGGGCATCTGCCCTCAGAGGATTCCGGTTATGGGATGGAAATGCCGGCTGGTAAGAGGTGGGCTGGGGCTGGCCATACTAGGGACCTACCACCCTGGGGAGCCACAGGGAGGGGCAGGTGGGTCAGGAAAGCCCTTGCCTTTGTAGACTCCTGAGTCTACATGTCAGTTCCTTTGTTAGCAGTTGAAGCTCTTGAGCAGACCGCAAGCGTAGCGTGTTTGAGGGGCTGGGTTCCATACCTAGTATCCCAGGTTGTGAAAAATCAACACGTGAACCTAACTCTCCCAACAAGCCAACCATCGTGGAGCATTAATCACAGCAGGAAGATCACAAGTTCATGGTCATCCTTCGCTGTGTAGCAAGTTCTAGGATATATGAGACCCTGTTTGAAAATACCAAAAATGGGGGTTAGAGTCGGTCCAGCCTGTAAAAGCACTTGTCACGCAAGCTTGATGACCTTAGTTTAGTCCCTCAGATTCCCATGGTATCATGGGAGAATGGACACCCGGAAGTTGTCCTGTGACTACTACATGTGGCCTGCATATGCCCTCCTCACACATACATGTAAATAAATAAATTCAATTAAAACTTCTTTTTCAAATGTGTTAGGAATGTGGCACAGTTGGTTCCGTCCTTGCCTGATCTTGCGAGAGGCCCTGGGTTCCATCCTCAGTATCACATACACGGGGTGTGGTACCACACACCCCGTAATCCTGGTGCCTGGGAGGAGGGGATGAAGAGGGCTGGTAATAGGAAACCAGCTTTGGTCACAGACAGTTCAAGACCAGCCGGGAGCCTGTCTCAAAATAGTGATGGCTGGAGAGTCGTTTCGGATGTTAAAAGAGGAGAAAATGTCAGGATTCTCTGGGGCTGGAGTTACAAACAATTCTGAGCCACTGTTACCACGCTGGGAACTGAACTCCAGTCCCCCTGGTAAAGCAGTAATTGCTCTGAACCTCATAGCCGTTTCCCCAGCCCCAGGAAAGTCCTGTCTTACTTTGTCTCAGACAGATAACCTAAAGGTACACTGTTTACCAAACCCAAGGCTTTGCACATCCCAGGCAAGCGCTCTTCAATTGAGCTGCATCCTCAGTCCCGTGAGTGTGTGTGTGTGTGTGCGTATTTCCTTTTTAAATTCTGAGATTTATCACATACATTGATAAAAAGCAGTGTTGGGGAGGGAAGGGTTTATTTGATGCCAGGTTACCGTCCGCAGTCCATCATTGCAGGGGAGTCAAGCCTTGAAGCCTCTAGCTATGTCAGTCACATCCGTAGTCAAGGGCAGAGAGAGCAGATGTATGCTGATTGCTCATGCTCTCTCTGTTTTACAGTTGAGGACCCAGACCCGGGGATAAGGCCACTCCCTTTCAGTCTGACTCTTCCCACCCACTTTTGATTAACATAAGCAATACAGTCCTTCACAGACATGCCCACAGGCCCACTAGATTCAGGGGAATCCTTACTGAGGTTGACTAATCCCTGGTGATGCAAAATACCAAGACACGGAAGCCAGAGAGATATTCCTGCATGGAAAAGCACTTTTTGGGTCAAGTCAGCAATGAAAACAAACCCATTACAGGTAGTATGCATCACCCTGGGTGCTGAGACAGGTTCTTGCTACATAGATGAGGCTATCCTGCAATTCATAGTCCTCGTGCCTCAGCCTTCCTGTGCGGGATTATGCCACAATGCACAGCCTTTTTCCTGTAATTATATGAGTCTGTGTCCATATCTTTAATGTATTTTTTGAAGCTAGGAATGAAACCCAAGGCCTAGTACATGCCGGGCAAGCAGACTACTGTTGAGCTGTGTTCCAAACTCTTGGCTTTTTTTTTTTTTTTTTTGGACCTAGTCTCACTGTGTAGCACAGGCTAGCCTCAAACTCAAAAGCCTCCAATCTCAGACTCCAGATTCCTAAGATCACAGGTGTGGGCCTCCCCACACTGAATCCTGGTGCCTTAACTTCTTCTGTCACACCAGGAAAATGGATCCTGTTCTTATTCAGCTACGGTGTCTAGCATACAGTGGTGGCTGGAGGCTGGTCCCTGCAGCGGTTCACAGAGGATGGTTTTAAGTTTGAGTGGCATATGCATGTCCTGATCCCATCCTCAGAGTTGAAGCTCTCTGGCCTGGCTTTCACTCCTCCAGCTCAGCTTCCTGGGCAGTGTTTCTTAACATCCTCTGTTTCCTCATAGACAAAGGCCCCAGTGAGGAACCGTGGTCAGAGGAGAGGCCGGCAGAAGGTGAGGCCCTGCCTATCTCCCATAATTCCCTCTCTGTGTCCACTCTAGCCCCAGAGAAATTCTCCCTTCCACTCCACTTCTCTCCAACACCCTGAATTTATTGGTGTTGGGAGACCCATGTGAGGTGTACCAGGTGGGAGAAAATTCTAGACTGTTAGAACTGACAGGCATCTGTCAGAATAAAGTTTTAGCTTAGGCTTACATACACGTATCTAGCTGCCTTCCATGAAGGATTCTAAGCTGAGTTGGGCCCCTCCAAGATATTAGGCTTCAATATGTAAACCCAGCTTTCTGTATGGAAGATACACTAAGAAAAACTGCTTTTCTTCTCTCTGCTGAGCAAAAGACAGGATAGGTGGTAAGAGTATAATCCTGTTTATCACTAGCATGTCTGCCCCTAAAATAAAACAGCCTCTTGTCAGAGATGAATGTTACTTTATAGAACCCAGCTTGATACAAGCCAGATACCTGTAATTAGGAAGAGTTTACTGCCCCCTGGTGGTAGTGTATGTAAATTACAGGCTTGCTTTGCACCCACCAACTAGGTATGCAAAATCCAGAAAGTGTAGGCGTGGCTAGAGCTGCCTTTTTCCTTGTTCTGTTCTAAAATCTCACCACAAGGTCATTTCTGATGCCTCCAGAGCTGGGGTGCAAGTTAAACACCAAGTTTCTGTACCCAGAAAACTCAGCATACTGCCTTTGCCTTCCAGAGAGCCCTGGTGACGTGATCCGGCCCCTGCGGAAGCAGGTGGAAATGCTATTCAACACAAAATATGGTGAGTGCGAAAAGGGACAGGCTTCTAGGACAGAGACAAAGCTGGGGGCTGCCTTCAGGGTGGGAACACTTAACTGATTGGTCCATATAATTCACACATGGCAACAGCCTCCCGAGAACCCCATCCTGCTGGCCTATCAGTCCACATATCAGTCCAGATCAGTCCCTGGCTCATGTGCTCTCAGTCAGCCTCAGCCACTGGCCTTCCTGGGAATTCACAGCAAGAAATAGCAAGAAATAGCTTTCTCTGGAATCCAGAAAAGTAGGGGGTATGACTCAGTGGTACAGTGTTTTCTTAGAATCCACCAGGGACATGGCATACCAGAGGTAGAGAGCCCATAGGTATAATCTTCTCATGAGCCGTAGCTCAGTGGTAGAGCCCCTGCCTAGAATCCCCCAGTGAGGAGCTGGGGGCGTGGCTCAGTGGTAGAACCCCTGCCTAGAATCCCCCAGTGAGGGGCTGGGGGCGTGGCTCAGTGGTAGAGCCCCTGCCTAGAATCCCCCAGTGAGGGGCTGGGGGCGTGGCTCAGTGGTAGAGCTCCTGCCTAGAATCCTCCAGTGAGGGGCTGGGGTGTGGCTCAGGAGTGAAGTCTTGTTTAGCACATATAATGCCCTGGATTCCATCCCCAGCCCTACAGTAAAACAAGGAAGAGTCAGAAAAGAGGAAGAGATAAATGAAGCCTGCTTTCTTTGGCTCCTAGAGTTTGCCAGGTGCTGGCTTCTCACATGTTCTCTCACCCCTTCCTCACACGGCCCTTGTAACCTTAAGACCCATTTTACAAATGAGGAAATATGAAGTTGGCTGCAGCCATGATTAGGCTACTCGGGGCCAGAGAGCCTCAGACATGGCTCGTCCTAGGTCTGGCATGCCATGGGGCTCTGTGAAGGTTTAGAGGTTTTTACGGCAGTAGGGGGAGAGCAACAGAGACATCCCAGTAATACTCAAGGATCTATGCTATGTAGGCATGTGCGAAGAGTGACTTTTGGGCTTCACATTCCTGGGCTGTATGCCTCCAGACAAATTAGGACTTCTATTCTACTTGCCGACTAGGTGTGCCTTTCTCTCCTCTGACAAGTTTGTAGGATTCAGCTGAGTGCTCTCTCTAAAGCCCTGCCACCTACAGCTTGCACAGAGAGATGGGGGCGGGGACTGGGGTTCCAGGTTGCCTTACGGCAGCCATGTATTTGCAGCCAAAGCAATTGGTACCTCAGAGCCGGTCAAGGTGCCCTACTCCAAGTTCCTTATGCACCCGGAGGAGCTGTTCGTACTGGGACTTCCTGAAGGCATCTCTCTTCGAAGACCCAACTGCTTTGGGATTGCCAAGCTACGGAAGATTCTGGAAGCTAGCAACAGCATCCAGTTTGTCATCAAGAGGTAAGGGCTGGGCTGGGTGTTCCAGGCTAGCCAAGGATACACAGTGAGACCCTGTCTCAAAACAGACAAACAAACAAACAAATAAACAAAAAGACTGTAGGTTGGAGGGTAGTGCCCAGGAGATGACTCAGCCAGTAAAGGCGTCTGTCATTTAGCTTGATGGATCTGAGTTTTGTTCTTTGGATTAGTGATTCTCAAACTGTGGGTAACGACCCCACAGGCATGGTTAGGGGTAGGGGTTCCAAAAGATTCTTTCAGGGGTTACCTCAAACCATGGGAAAACACAGATATTTACGTTATGATTTATAACAATAGCAAAATTGTGCAGTTGCAGTGAAAATATGTTGTGGTTGGGGTCACCACACCATGAGGGACTGTATTAAAGGGTCACAGCATTAGGAAGGTTGAGAACCACTGGTTCAGACCAAACCTTGGAAGAAGAGAACTGACTGCCTCAAATTGTCTTCTGCCCTTGACATACAAGACCATGGCCTGCATGCCCCTGCCCCCCCCCACACACACAATAAATAAATAAATATAACCAAGAAAGGGCTAGGGAGATACTTATGTCTTAGCTAGGGTTTTACTGCTGTGAACAGACACCATGACCATGGCAAGTCTTATAAAGGACATTTAATTGAGGCTGGCTTACAGGTTCAGAGATTCAGTCCATTATCATCAAGGTGGGAACATGGCAGAATCCTGGCAGGCATGGTGCAGGAGGAGCTGAGAGTTCTACACCTTCATCTGAAGGCTGCTAGCAGAATACTCACTTCCAGGCAGCTAGGACAAGGGTATTAAAGCTCACACCCACAATGACACACCTACTCCAACAAGGCCACTCCTAATAGTGCAACTCCCTGGGCTGAGCATATGCAAACCATCAGAAATGGCTCAGCAGGTGAGGGTGCTTGCCTCCAGGCCTGATGACTTCAGTCCCTGGGTGCACATGGTAGAAGGTAACTCTTGCAAATTTATTCTCTGACCTCCATGTGTGAGCTATGGCCTGCATGTACGTGCACGCCCATACAATGATTTTTTTAAATTAAGTTTAAAAAAAAGTAGGAGCAAAGACCAGCCAGACCCATGAGGGACATCGTCAGCACCCAAAATAGCACTACGATTGCGAAAACTTCTTTCTTTATTTTCTATGGCTTTGATTTTACTGTATTTGGGGTTGGAAATTTTTATAAGATAGGATCTTGCTTTGTAGCTCTGTGACCCAATGCTGATTAAGCAGAGCTGGGAGGACCCCTGGGTTTGCTGGCCCATCAGAGTGGCCAATATACAGGCTCCATGTTCAGGGAGAGACCCTGTCTCAAAACATACTGTGGATGGGCCGGAGATGGCTCAGTGGTTAATGCTTGCTGTTCTTAACCTGAGTTAGGAGGTCCTGAGCTTGGTTCTCAGAATCCTCCCATAACCACCTGGAACTTCAGCTCCGGTGGTTCCAGCGCCCTCGTCTGGCTTCTGTAGGCACTACAACTCTCTCTCTCTCTCTCTCTCTCTCTCTCTCTCTCTCTCTCTCTCTCTCACACACACACACACACACACACACACACACACACACAAAATTTAAAAAAGAATAAAAATTTACAAAAAATTAAAGTGGCCAGGCAGTGGTGGTGTACACCTTTAGTCCTGGCACTCAAGAGGCAGAGGCTAGCCTGGTCTATAGAGTAAGTTCCAGGTCAGCTAGGGATATACAGAGAAACCAGGTCTTGGAAAAAAAATGTATATATTACTAAGATACCAGATGTTGACCTTTGGCCTCTACGTGTACCTTTCCACATGTGTGTGTACAAACACACACATCATTTCCCTGACAATTGCTCACCCACACATGCATGCTGTGTGTTCCACATGCATGGGATTGGTTGAAGGCCAAAACAGGGCATCAGCCAGCCCAGGATTTGGAGAAATTCTCAGTGCTCAGAGCTGTTGACAGCTCCCATCTACAGGTTGACCCCTCTAGTCTGGCAAGGACCTTAATTCTTGTTGGTCAGGGATAGGAAAGCCCATTGCACACATCTGTTGTACACTGAGGCCCAGAAGTGCCAGCTACACAGCCCTAGGATGCTTGGACAAACCTCACTAATGGCACTGGTTTTGTTTTCTAGACCCGAACTGCTCACTGACGGTGTCAAAGAACCTGTTCTGGACACTCAAGGTACCTGGGCATGGGGGAGACACAGGTGGGTGTGGGAGGGCTTCAAGTCTCTGCCATATCCCTCCTGATGCCCCTGTCCTATCCCCTACCCTAGGCGTTTCCCCACTGCCCCTGTCGGGTTTGCCCCCTCGATGCCACCTGGGACCCCAGGTGCTCCCTCCTCACCTGCCTTCTCTCCCCACCCCACCCCCAGAGAGGGACTCCTGGGACCGTCTTGTGGACGAGACCCCGAAGAGACAGGGCCTTCAAGGTAAGTTTAGGTCCATATAAGTTTAGGCGTTCCAGAGTCATGACCTTGTCTAGCTTTAGAGGGGGAGGGGGCAAAGCGGAAGTGGAAAGAGGCTGGACCCCACCCATGGGCTCCAGGGTACCCTACTGGCCACTAGGGCCAGACTATAGCCTGGTGTCTCTGAGTTAGAGTCTGGCTGTCGGTAGGGGGACAGCCAGGCACAGGACCCCAGCGCTGTCTATTCTGTCTGGTAGTAGCATCTACATTTCTATAGTCCTTCAGCAGCCCAGCTCGGGTTTTTTTGTTTGTTTGTTTGTTTGTTTTCTAACAAAATCTCAATC